ATTTGTGAGCCTTGTCTGAAGCCAGAGTTCCAGGCAGTGGGGCTGAAGTATGAGCCCCACCGCCCAGAGTTGAAGCATGTAACTTAGCTTTCACTGGGTTCCCTGTGGTGCAGGGCCCCGGCCAATTGCCATGCTTGCCACCCCTAATGCCAGCCCTGCACTTGCAACTCCCCTAAACCCCCTCTGAGGATCGCAACCCCCAGGTTGAGAAACACTGATCTGGATGAGTTGAGTTGAGACTTCTACCTACCCCCGGAGGCACACGTACCTCTGGCTGAGAACCATGGTCTTAAAGTAATCCCAAAAGGTTGGTTATCTTTATTTAAAACATATTAATCTCTGAGATCCGAAAAGGAATCTTAACAGGAAAAATGAGTCAGCTGAGGCTTTTCTGCTTTTATATATGCACATAAATAATATAAAACATTACTAAGTCAATTGTTCAGTCATCTCAACTTTCACAGCCGTGATGAGAACTGCCCATGCAACGATATTTTCAAATTTACATATGCAAAATAATACATTGTTTCTATGAAAAAATATGAAACGACCAATTTTGCACACAAAATTTATTGCAAGCAAACCAGTATTTGTGTGTGCAGAATGGGTTACAGCACAGATGTGTGTTCCTTTCGGCATGCAATTACCCAGTCTACATGATGAAATACCTGCTTGCACACCTAAAAGGAGCATCCATACAATTTTGGCAAGCACAGTATTACTGCTCGTATTTGAAAATTTGGCCCACAAAGCAAAAGATTTTGAAAATGCAGCACAACATATAAAAGTCCAAAGTCAATTTATTTTTACTACATTTTGAAACACTATATATGTACTGGTATTACTTCCCCACCTACCTTCTCCATCTCTATTTAGCATAAAATACAAGCCAAATTTTCCAATGGTTGATATTAAAACTGTAATCTAGGAAGAAATAACCACGATGATTCAGAAAGACTGTGACCCCCAGTCAGAAAAGTTTATGAGACCACTGTGATAAATAATCTGGACATAATTTGTTGGCAACTACAGTGCTAAATAATTCAGACTCAAAACAAAATTTCAGCATTGCAGTGGGTGGAGGCTTGACACCTCAGGTTAAGGGATATATTAACATTATGCAGTAAAGTAAGTGTGTGTATGTGTGTGTGTGAGAGAGTGTGTGTGTGTGAGAGAATAGGCTTTTGGTCAAGCAACCTCCCTAATTTACATATTACAAAACCATGTTAGATAATTGTCACATCCCCTCCTCCAACCTAAATAAAAAATGAACTCTTATTTTTCTTTCAACCTCGACCTAGGTAGTAAAAAACAACTCTCATAATGCATTTTGGGACAACTTTATTAAGATAACACCAGCTAATTATTGTTTTGCTTTCTCCATGAGCAGAGATAGTGGCATCCTGTCATATGTGTCGTTTATTCAATAGCTGAATATCTGTACAGATTTGCTCTTGCTGACATATTCTATTTTTTTAATCTCTATTCTATTCTGTTTAAAATTGCAAAACTAGTTTAAAAAATCAGTGCTCATTGTTTAATTATTTTGCTTTCAAACAATACAATGTAAGTTAAAGTGATGGACAAACAAGAAAGGTTCATTATGAACAGAGAAGTCCTGTTATGCCAAATGGCAAAAGGCAGTGTAATTTCCGCATGAAAGGATAGCTAATTGAAAGGATAAAGATCTAATAAGAAAATTAATGGTGAACAAACTTTTGAAAGTTTGGAGATTTGATTAGATTAATTATCCAAAAGATAGGATATCAAACCAAAGCATATACAAACTTATGTCAACCTTCCTTGTCTCAAAATCATGTTAAAATTACACAAGGAAAGGCTCTCATAGTATTTTTGATATTTCCAAGATTTTGTCCAATAAAGCACACACAAAAATAGCCTACCTTTGCCTGGTGTTTTTTGGTTCTGGCCACAAAAAATAAGCCAGCCGACCCAAACTCCTCCTGTAAAGGTATATTGTTGGCTCTGAGTTTTGGGAAAGATTGGATTGATTTTTATTTTTTTTCCAAGCCAGTCTGACCATGCATCCCATACACTTCATAAGTGGTTGTGCAAGATGCTGTTTCTCAATGTCATTTTTATTTTTCCTTTAATAACACCAAATATAGATCAAGAAAATCATTGGGGGGGAAATGAAGGATTTTTGTGGGAGTCAATTTTATCATAATAGTGTTGTATCAGACTAACATTTGTTTTGGCTTCTAGAGCACAAAATAATTATCATTTAACAATTGTTTACAGCGCCCTAGTTTAAATGTATGCCAATAAAGTATACTGATAAATTGCAGATGTAATATAATCTGTGCTGTGTATGTTAGATAGACAAGACAGAGAGACAGAAAATGTGAATGCTACATGTTCCACCTTACTTTACTAACAATTTACAGGCGTTATTATTATTAGCATTATTAATAAATATTTATATTATGGAAGCAGGCAAAAGACCCAAGTCAGGATGGGGGGGGGGCTCATTGTGCTGGGTGCTGTACAAACATAGAAAAAAGATTATCTGTGCCCTGACAGGCTTACAATCCAGAGGGGAAAAAAGGCATAAGTGAATGATATGCTTTGTTAGTGTGGCTGTTTACTCTAGATGCCTCAGTAACAGAAAGGCACAGACGAATTAGATAGAGTTCAGAAAAAAACAAAATGAGTAAGGAGCAGTAAGTAATGACTTAGAAAAAATAAGTATAAAACCACCAAACAACTGAAGCTGCCAAAAAAAGGAGACCTCAGCCAGTGCAAAAACTGGAGGGCAGACACAGCTGCAAAAAGGTGGTGTTGGTCAGCTTCGCAGAACTGACTCATCCCCTTGGAATGTAAGGGCGAAAGGCTTTAAAGCTTCAAGCTCTGGTGTTGCAAACCCCTTTCTCCACGCAGCAGGCAAGGCAGCACCCACCCTCCCTCCCCTTGAGGTGTGATTATCAGGTGGGTTTGAACCTGCTGTGGGCATTGTGCTAGTCACTACATTTTAGGGGGGGCTGGGAAGATATTTTTTCCCTCACCACGATATTGGCTTCGGTGGAGAGGGTTTTTTTTGCCTTCCCCACAGCGGGTATTAGGGAAGACCTATTATGGTGAGCACAAAAGGCGTGGTAGGTTATATGTCGCAAATTATTTGGTAAGTGTGGGGCAGATGTCCAGTGCATAGGGAAGGCATCCAGTGCCCAGATAAATGGCCTGGTAAAGGACTTAAAAAGGAGGTGCTGGTTAAAGGAACGGAATGGTGTGGGGCTTGGGGCCCCTGTGGTTGGAACAGCAAGGAGCCAACCCCCCTTTCTTATAGCCCGTCTTACCCCTCCCACGAGGTGGGGTGGATGGTAAGGTCCCAGGAATGGATTTGCTGGAGGGACCTCGATGGAAAAAGAGGGGAAGTTGGGGAAAGCCTAACCGGGTAACTGAAAATAAACAGGGTTTACCTGCACTGTACACTTTTATCTGCCGGGTAGTCCCAAACATCTAATAATAACGTTGCAGTCTGATTAAATCCATATCAAGTGTCTCCTGTCCTTCTTTCGGTACAGCTGGACAACAAAATAGTTATAGAAAAACTATGCAATTACAAAGAGAGATGGTGATAGGAATAGATTGTCTGTTCAAAGAGTTGTACACCATTTAAGGAAAGGAACTGATAAGCATGGTACAGGAGGTATAACTAGGAGTAATAGGATGAAATTGATAGAAGGAATATTCAGCCTAGACCACAGAAAAATCTTCCTGACAGAGAGTTCTATTTGACTGAAGAATAGTCTCCCATGGGAAATGATGGAAGTCCCATTGGTTGAGACACTGAAAACTATACTGGAGAAAATGCCAGAAAATGTTCTGTAAGGCCAGTCTTGTACTCGCTGTGGATGGACTAAACTAGTGGATCATGAACCCCAAGAGAGTCAAGGAAAGCATTCGGAGAGGTTCTCTGGTGTTGAAAATGTTATTACAATCTAAAGCAAACAAAAATCTTGCTCTTCACTTCCTGCACACCCATCCGCTCTGAGGTCAAGTATTCTCAGTCAACTTCTCAAAACACAAAATAAACAGATTATATAGATTTATCATTGCTATCAATGACACATTTATGTTCATAGTAAATGTAAGGAGGGAGGGCTGAAAAAATTTGACTTTGAATGAGGGGTCACCAACAAGAAAAGGTTGAAAAACACTGGATTAAATGATCAAATAGGTATTTTCCATCCCTAGACTCTATTATATATTTCTTCTGTCTGAACAATGTTAAGGAATAATTCAAATATAATTTAAAAACTACAGAATGGTTAAGCATCTCCATTAGAAGTGACAGAAATCAAGTGGAACAAAATGCATTAAGATCTACAAGACAGTTAATGACAGTATTGTGAATGGAGTATACATCACAGCTAACATTAACGGCTCTTTCTCAGCATTGATGGAAACTTCTGGCATTGTCACAAAGAATATGGAGTTCTACTCATACTTTGTATAACTATTGTCAGTCAGTACTGAAATTTTGGAAGGACATTTGCAAGGTTTTATTGGGAATGCTGAATAAGTATGTTATATGTGCAATATTTTTATATTGGATATTCATAATATTTAATCTGGATTTTTGTAATAAATGTGGGTATTCGTACTACACTGAAAATTTAAAAAAGGAGACTGTATTGATTTATTGTGGTGGTGAATCTATACATACTGTAATGGTCCTAATGGAAAAGTATGCCAGGCCTATCAACCACCGTTTGAGTACCAACATTTCTCCAAGCTCCAGACATAAGGAGAAACTGTCAAAATATAATGACCTGCTGTATATGAAAAGAATATAGATGGAGCAATCTTTTAAACATAAGCCATTTATAGATTCCTTCCTTCATTTTCCCTAGACAGCTAAGTAAATTCCTGCCTTAATTACACTTTTAGAATGCAAAGACTATCCACAGCATATTTTATTTTTTGTTTAAAAAAAAAGAAAAAGAAAGGAAGAAAGAAAGGATAAAATTCCTTACCACATTCTGATTGATCTTGTGTCTGAAACATGTGATGTAGACAACATAAGGCCAGTCATCAGGCTCCATCAGCACCCCTGCAGCATGAGCACAGGTAACATGGAAGGAAGCTGGACAACGCCCATAAGAACACTGTATGCAGGCACCGGAAAATTTCTTCATTCTCTGTCTGCAGAAGATACATTTCTGTATGAACAAAACAGAACAGAATGTCAACTAAACTACTGTGATTCAGCTAATTTCCACGTTTTATTGACTACATTTTACAGCTAAGCTGTACTGAAAAAGAACAAACTTTTCTGAATTGCAAATTAAGCTTGCAGTATGCTGTAACTTTAAGTCAGCATTTTTGTCCTTCTTTATGGACATACAAAGAGTTAATGGTTTTGGTGCCATAGTGGGGAATCTGATATGTAGTTGATCATTATTAATCGTTTTGATTCTAAATCCCATGCACTGCCCTACAAACCAACACTTACTCCCAAAATGAGCAAATTGAGAATCTGCTAACATAATTCTTCAAAAATAACCATTATGTGTGACAATAAAACTAAACTTCGTACACCATGTTATGTTCCTGTGTGTTCAAAATAGGCATTGGGGGATGGGAGAAATGAGACACAGGCTCTGCCTCGCTGAATAAAACAATTTGTCCATGAAGTCTGGTATCCTACTGCCAGAAATAGCCAATAACCAATATGTCAGATGGAGAAATACTCCATTACTGTGTATTGCCAATTGTGTAAGACTGTACATGGGGATATAGCTTTCTTTCTTACCCTCATCATAGCTTATAAAACAAGAAATATGTTATTGATGATCATAATATTTTAAAATCCACTCACACTATTTTACCCAACAGCCTTAGCAGTAGTGAATTCCACAATCTGACTATGTGGTGTTGAAGTACTGATTCCTTTCATCACTCTAAATTTAACCAATAGTTTTTACAAAGCAACTCACTGAAGTGTCATCAGTGAACTTCACCAACTCAACATAGTATGATGGATTGCCTTGAATTTATGTAACTGTCACAGCAAAGGCTGCGAGAGTAGTGAATTTGTTGGTTCAGGTCATCCTCTCAAGTAAAGTTAGAATACAAAGCATGAGCAGAATAAGGAAGTGAACCCATAATGTTCAGTGCGTCATAGAAGTAAAACACTGTAAAATTAATACATTGGTCTTATAAGCCTTTCATCCAAAGATTTCAAAATGCTTTACAAATATTTAAGTACCCCTTCAAGGAAAGTATTATTATTCACATTAAATGGAGAGGGAAACAGATACAGAAAGGTTAAATGACTTTCCCAAGCCCGCACAGTAATGGGATCAGCACTCAGGACTTTCTACCTCCCAGTTGCTTATTTAACTCATTAGACCCCCTTTTAATGTAATTTCCCAAACTTTAAAAAACTTAAAAATTGAAAAACAAAAATTTCATCCTGTGTAATCGTACTGACTCCCCACAGGGTCAGCAGCAGGGGTGGGATACATGTTCAGTACGGGACTGTTATAATAATTTCAGAGCCTTCTGCCCCCGTGCCTCGAGCCTATCTATGTCCCTTTCCACTCTTATATTCCCCTGCCAAGTCACTGCTCTTGTCCCTTCCTCCCCACTGTTATCCTCTCTGGCACCTGCCTGCCTCTAAAATCAACTCCTGCTCCTGCCCAGTCTCTAGCTTTTGCCCATGCCCCCTTTGCTCCTATGCTACCCCACTCAACAGTTCCTGTCCTTGCCACTTGCTCCTATCTTCTCCCATCATCGGCTCCTGTCTTTCTATCCCATCACTCTGCTTCTGTCCCTCTAGGCACCAGCAAGGGGTGCAGTGACAGCAAAGGAGAGACAGTCTCCCTGCTCTCAGTTCTGGTGGCCAGTATCTAAGCAACCCCCAGCTTTGAGCAATTGCAGGGAAAGTCCTGTTCAGCCCCTGGCTGATATGAAATGGAACATGCTCAGCTGTTCTGTGACTATGATGCATCCAGAGTCTGGTTGGCATGTAAGAAGTGTGAGAGGATGGCAAATGCTCCAGAGAATTTAGCTGCCAAACTCTACTAAGCCTTTACTGAGAATGTGTGAAGTGGAATTTTTCAGAGGCCTATAACTTGGCCAAATGTGGGCAGATTTTCACGGGGATGGCAAAAGGCACGTACCTGACACAGGGAGGTCACCCTGAAAAATTTCAAATCCTTGCTAGTAAGCATGGAAGTGCTAGAGCTTTTCAACAGAGTGGTTGTGACAATATTTTAAACATGAGCATAACCATGTATTTTCCCTCATCTTGTTCTCTGAAATGGCTACACCATTATTGCTGAAACTTAAAAAAAGCAGCAGCAGCAGCTTAGTTGAGAAATCTGGCATTTGTGCCCAAATGGTTAAAATTTGACGAAGTTCTAACTAATTGAACAAAGGGTCTTATAATTTGAAGTGTTGGGCAACTGTACGTATAAGCAGTGCTACCTGCCCCACCTATACCATCCACACCAAATTGTTCTATAGTCAGCATTTTAGGAAGGTAACAAGAACCAAGACACTAAGAAATTATAAGATGAACTATTGTATATGTTTGTACAACAAGTTATAAAAATGTCCTATGCAAAACAAAGAAAATAATTAACTCAGAAAGTACATAGTGTTATACAGTAACTCCCCACTTAACGTCCTCTTGCTTAATGTTGTTTCGATCTTACGTCCCTGCTCAATTACAGAACATGCTCCATTTAAAGTTGTGCAATGCTTCGCTATAACGTTGTTTGGCTGCCTGCTTTGTCCACAGCTGGCAGCCCCCCCATCAGCTCCCCTATGCCCCCCCACAGCACCTCCCACCTGCCGGCAGATCCCGTGGATCAGCGCCTTCCCCTCCTCCCCCGCCTCCTGGCCAGGGCAATCAGCTGGCTTGCAGCATTCAGGAGGGAGGGGGAGGAGCGAGGACTCGGCGCGCAGGCTCCCCATCCCTCCCCTGCCTCCCAAATGCTGCAAACCAGATTGCCCCAGGCAGGGGGTGGGGGAGGAGGGGGAAGGCTGCGTGCCGAATCCCTGCTCCTCCCCTGGCCCTCTTGCCCCCTGAACGCCGCAAGCCAGCTGACTGTCGTCGGCGGGGGGAGGGGGGGGGAAGAGTGAGGATACGGCATGCGGAGTAAGGGGGGGGGAGAAGAAGCGGGTTAAGGGAGGGGACTTGGGGGAAGGCGTGGAGTGCGCGGGCCAAGGGTTGAGCCGCCCCGCCCCTGGTGCTTGCAGAGTAGGGGAAGCTGCCACTGCTGCTGTGCAACGTGCTTCTCCTAGCCTACAGCACCTTCTGCCTCCTTGCCTGCCTGATTGCCTCCAGTGCCAGTGGGCTGTGCCTGTGTGGGGTAAGGCGAGGGCACCTCCCAACTATAGCACTGTACTGTATTTTATGGCAAAAAACAATTTCCCTGGAATCTAACCCCCGCTATTTACATTCATTCTTATGAGAGGTTTCAGAGTAGCAGCCGTGTTAGTCTGTATTCGCAAAAAGAAAAGGAGAACTTGTGGCACCTTAGAGACGAACCAATTTATCTGAGCATAAGCTTTCGTGAGCTACAGCTCACTTCATCGGATGCATAAAGTGGAAAATACAGTGAGGAGATTTATATACACACAGACCATGAAAAAAATGGTGTTTATCATACACCTTGTAAGGAGAGTGATCAACTAAGATGAGCTATTACCAGCAGGAGAGTAGGGTGGGGGGAGACAAAACCTTTTGAAGTGATAATCAAGGTGGGCCATTTCCACCATATTTCCAGGAGTTAACAAGAACGTCTGCAGAATAGTGTGGGAGGGGGAGAAATAAACAAGTGAAAATAGTTTTACTTTGTATAATGACTCAACCACTCCCAGTCTCTATTCAAGCCTAAGTTAATTGTATGCAATTTGCAAATTAATTCCAATTCAGCAGTCTCTCGTTGGAGTCTGTTTTCGAAGTTTTTTTGTTGAAGAATAGTCACTTTTAGATCAGAAATTGAGTGACCAGAGAGATGGAAGTGTTCTCCGACTGGTATATGAATGTTATAAGTCTTGACATCTGATTGTGTCCATTTATTCTTTTACGTAGAGACTGTCCAGTTTGACCAATGTACATGGCAGAGGGGCACTGCTGGCACATATCACATTGGTAGATGTGCAGGTGAACGAGCCTTTGATAGCGTGGCTGATGTGATTAGGCCCTATGATGGTGTCCCCTGAATAGATATGTGGGCACTGTTGGCAACGGGCTTTGTTGCAAAGATAGGTTCCTGGGTTAGTGGTTCTGTTGTGTGGTGTGTGGTTGTTGGTGAGTATTTGCTTCAGGTTGGGGGGCTGTCTGTAGGCAAGGACTGGCCTGTCTCCCAAGATTTGTGAGAGTGATGGGTTGTCCTTCAGGATAGGCTGTAGATCCTTGATAATGCGTGGGAGAGGTTTTAGTTGGGGGCTGAAGGTGACGGCTAGTGGCGTTGTTATTTTCTTTGTTGGACCTGACCTATAGTAGGCAACTTCTGGGTACTCTTCTGGCTCTGTCAATCTGTTTCTTCATTTCAGCAGGTGGGTATTGTAGTTGTAAGAATGCTTGATAGAGATCTTGTAGGCGTTTGTCTCTGTCTGAGGGGTTGGAGCAAATGCGGTTGTATCGTAGAGCTTGGCTGTAGACAATGGACTGTGTGGTGTGGTCTGGGTGAAAGCTGGAGGCATGTAGGTAGGAATAGCGGTCAGTAGGTTTCCGGTATAGGGTGGTGTTTATGTGACCATTGCTTATTAGCACTGTAGTGTCCAGGAAGTGGATCTCTTGTGTGGACTGGTCCAGGCTGAGGTTGATGGTGGGATGGAAATTGTTGAAATCCAGGTGGAATTCCTCAAGGGCTTCTTTTCCATGGGTCCAGATGATGAAGATGTCATCAACATAGCGCAAGTAGAGTAGAGGCATTAGGGGACGAGAGCTGAGGAAGCGTTGTTCTAAGTCAGCCATAAAAATGTTGGCATACTGTGGGGCCATGCCGGGAATCCAAAGCAGTGCTGCTGATTTGAAGGTATACATTCTCCCCAAATGTGAAATAGTTATGGGTGAGGACAAAGTCACAAAGTGCAGCCACCAGGTTAGCCGTGACATTATCAGGGATAGTGTTCCTGATGGCTTGTAGTCCATCTTTGTGTGGAATGTTGGTGTAGAGGGCTTCTACATCCATAGTAGCCA